ATGTTCATTAAACAGATCTTGAACTGTTGTTTGTATAGAGAAATTAAATGGAAAAAAGATCGTTGAGCCAAATAGCAATATGACCATCAAAGTAACATTGTTAAAATATACCTATTCTACACTGTTCATTGCCAAAAGATAGTTCTAAATCCCTCAGAATAGATTTATTGCTTAGGAATATTTCTCAGTGATGCTAAGGTAGTAGAATCTAGTTAATTTCCTACATTGTAATTGATTTATTGCATAGGAATGTGTGTGTTTGGGAGTTTAACCCCACATCTTTGTATGTATCAAATGAACAAGAGACACAATACAAACAACTGATTACAGCTGGTTTTGATTCCAAATTTCACAAATTGCAATGATAGACGAAAGTAGCAAATTTCACATATTTGGTTGCGTTTGGTAGAGTTTTGTAAATATGATTTGAGAGTTTTCTGTGAACACTACCCGTGACGAATCTTCAGTCTGATCTTTGAAAGAGAGAAAGAAAGATGAGTAGATCAGTTCACGTGAACCTTTTCAGAGACGATGGATATGGAAGCTTTTCAGAAAGGAAGAGGAAGAAGGCTGAAGGCGTTGAAAGTGGAGAAATGAATCACAAAGCTGCCAAACGGGTTTTCAAATTGTAGTTTGAATTATATGGTGGAATTCTATTTTGAAAGTGGTATCCAAACGTGAAGCGGGAGTGATAGGTTAGAAATGTAATTTCAAAACACATCCAAACAGAGCCTTTGTTTCTTCTGCCAATATTGGAGAGGGATGGAAGAGTTGTTTACCAAATCCAACTCTGAATATGTTTTGAGCACACAATTTTATGAAATGATCGGAGTTTAAAAAAGAAATTCAAAATTATTTAAATTTAGACATTTTAATTTAAAGGGAAAGTTTTATTTTATCTCTATAGTTTACTTAATGTGAAGTTTGGCCCTTGTCATTTAAAAATAAGTATATAATTTATTGACTAAAGTGCACAACACCAGGTATGAAACAATTTTTTTGCTTAAATAGAAGCCTCCCAAACAAAAAATAATTGATTGACATTGACCTAGTAATTGCATAAAAAATAAATTTTCTAATTTATTACCAACACATTAACAATTCCATCATTTAGGTGATATTTAATAAAATTGAAAATTAAAAATTAAGTTATAAAAGTAAAATGTTAAATTTTTTTATTTGAAAAGTAAAGTGTTAGAATTTAATTAAGTTGTTTGATAAGTAAAAGAAGTTAGGGTATGAAATTTTTATTTTTTGTTTTTTCTCTTACGTTTATTATATTATTGGTGGTGGGTTAGTTAGTAATCATAGGTTATTAGGTTTGATGAAGCCGCAACCACGATGGTTGTGATTGTAAGAAAGTAGTGGCTGCATTTTAACTTGTGGTCCAAAAAAGTAAAAATGTGAGCTTTTTAGAATTTTTTTTTGGGAAATTATAAAAAAAAAAAAAAAAAAAAGAGTTAGGATTTAACACCTTTTTCAAATTAAACCACAGGTTCTCAATTTTAAAAATTTGTACCCCACCATTCCACCCGTGTTTCAATCCGATCCCCTTATCCGTCTCCGTTTTTATTAGTTAACAGAAAACTAATTTGGGCAACAAAATTACCCTAATCTTCACGATTTAGGGCAAAAGACACCCCTCCATTGCCCTAATCTTCACGATTTGTTGTTGTGGGATCGTAATCTGATCTTATGTCCAAACAAACGTGGATTGGATTGAAGAGCAAGAAAAACCTTAGCTTAGCAACATAGAGACTTGAAGCAAATTGCACTATCAACACCCATAACGGCTCTTTCACCCGAAATTTCCATTCATCGCGATACTCATCTCTATTTTCACAAATCAAACTTGTTTTTTGTGAAATTGATTTGGTTTAATTTTTGAATCCATTGTGTTTTAAAGGTACTTGCGATCAATAATACATGGAAAATCCATTTCAAGTATCGACGAAGAGAGTGGATCGGAAGGTTTGTTCGTGAGAATGGAGATGCCGGGGATAGAGAAGGAATGAAGACGTGAAGCTTTTGGTGGAGTATGACAGTGTGTTGATAAAAGGGAAAGAAATGAAGGAATCGAAATATGAGGACACTAGAAGGACTTACAATGCTAGCATTGAGCTCTCTTCGAATTCGTTCCAGCTAGAAAAGATCAAGGCTGAGTTCAAGAATAGTCGAGCTCTCCAATCTCTGTTTCTTGATCTCCACTTCATCTCTCAAAACAAAACTAAAAGCCCCATCTCAACAACTACACTGTTAAGAGAGAAGAACATGACAGAGCTCAATAAAGCTTCCAAAAACCAAGGATTCTATGTAAGAATGAGACAATTACACACCACCACCAAGCATCATGGAAGACAAATAGAGAAGAAGACCCATTGCTACAGATACCTCAAATGGGTCTTTTGGTTTTCTCTCTCCTCCTCCTACTTTCTCACATTCTCCCTCATTACCCACAATTCCCCCGTCCACATCTCTCTCTCAAACCACCATCGTTTCTGTTTCTAAAACCACTTACCCTCTCGTGCCCTATTCTAGTCTCTCGTGCCTTGTTTGAGTCTCTCATCGAAGCTTCCATTCTAGAACTGAAGTCGGGGCTCCGACCACGTCTTTCTCGCTTCTCACGATTTCGAAGCTTGTTTTCACACAATGGTGAGAAATACATAAGCTAAAATGTGTTTTGGTTCTTTTTGGAAGTATTTTTTAAAATTTGATGGTTTGTTTTGGGAAAAAGGAGATAGCGATTGAAGATGAAATATTGGAGGTACTGAAGAAGTATATTATATTGCAGATGGGAAATGTCTTGTAGCTCAAATTTTGTGGCTCAAAAGTGGCTCAAATGGTCAAAACGACGTCGTTTTGGCCATTTTTATGTTGTTCTGTACTCAAAACGACGTCGTTTTGGCCATTTGAGCCACTTTTGAGCCATAAAATTTGAGCTACGTAGCATTGTCGATTGCAGATTAGGGAAATTTTGCCCTAAATCGTGAAGATTATGGCAATTTTAGCGCCTAAATCAGTCTTTCGTTAACTAATAAAGACGAAGATGGACGGGGGGATAGGATTGAAACATGGGTGGAATGATGGGGTACAAATTGTCAAAATTAAAAACCTGGGATTTAATTTGAAAAAGGCTTTAAATCCTGGGTTTTTTTTTTTTTTTTTTGTAATTTCTCCTTTGTTTTTTTTATCAATTGCCAAGCCAATTATGATTTGGCATTTTTCTCAGGTTCCATTACCAATGAAAAGAATACTATTAAAAAATAGGGCAAATTACATATACCCCTCGAGATTTAGCAAAATTACAGATATCCCCTGAGATTTGAGAAATTACAGATACCCCTAAAGGTACTATTTGCATAACAAATTAGGGGGCAAGTTGTTTTGAAAATATAAACCTCAGGGAACAATTTGTAATGAAAATATAAACCTCAGGGGGTATTTGTAATTTCCGAAATCTCAGGAGGATATCTGTAATTTAGCTAAACCTTGAGGGAGGTATATGTAAATTGCCCTAAAAAATAACAAGTTTCCACGGGATTGCATTTTTAAGAAGCATAAATTACAAATATACTTTTTGAGATTTATTTAAAATATAAATTATTTTTTGTAGTTTAAAATATTACAAATATATTTTTGTTAGAATTTTTTATTTAACAGAATTAACTAAAAAAATAAAATTTCTAATTATTCTCTTATACAATAATAAAATTATCTGAATTATTAATTAAAATAAAATTTTAACATCATTAAAATTGGTTAATAAACTTAATGATTTATTTGTTATGAAATTATAAACCTTAGGAAGCATATTGTAATTTCTAGAACTACAAGAGATAATTCGTAATTTATATAAATTTCAGGGGTGTGTTTGTAATTTACCCTTTTATGAAAGACACATTAGTTATTTTATTTTACATAGAAAAGGTCCCAAAAAATAAAAATAAAAAACCTTGAAAGGTAATTTTTTTTTAAAAGAAAAACTTCAAAAGGTCAATCTAGCTTAAAACAGGCTGCCAAATGAGGCCTTAATAGTTTGCTCATGGCCTTGGTCCAAAAAATTAAAAAGGGTAAATTACATTGAGATTTAATAAATCTCATAAATTTCGCATAATGATATCGATTTCAATTTTAGTAAAATTAAAGCAAGTTTACCCTTTTATGAAAGACACATTAGTTATTTTATTTTACATAGAAAAGGTCCCAAAAAATAAAAATAAAAAACCTTGAAAGGTAATTTTTTTTTAAAAGAAAAACTTCAAAAGGTCAATCTAGCTTAAAACAGGCTGCCAAATGAGACCTTAATAGTTTGCTCATAGCCTTGGTCCAAAAAATAAAAAGGGTAAATTACATTGAGATTTAATAAATCTCATAAATTTCACATAATGATATTTTAGTAAAATTAAAGCAAGTGTAACTAAATGCAAATCAAAGGTAATATAGATTTCAATATAAAAGAAATAAATAAAAATATTATTTTTGTATTCATATTACTTACAAAATATGATTAATTGAAGGAATAGAGTATTATCAAAATTTAAATCTAATTGAGCCAAACTTATTGAGTATTTTTTTTCCTAAACTTTAAGAGAGGTAGTGTAAATAAAAATAAGTTGGGCCGCCTTCAAAACCCGGTGTTGTTGGCAATTTAAACAATTAAACAACTTTCTGACTATTTTGAAAAAGATCAAACCAAAAACAATTGAATCCATTTCTCATGCCTCAACAGGAAACAATTAAACCAATGATCAACTTCAACACGATTGAACGAAACAATTAGATTCAACAAAAACAAAATTCAGCATTTAGTAGTCAAAAAAACACTTAGTCAAGAACTGAAACTACCACTACCCACTAAATTAATATCAGAGTTTGTCAGCAACTCCTTAAGTTAACTAGTCAGATCCCTATAGCAAGCAAAAATATTAAATATCAAAATGTTCAAAATGAAAATATTCTATGTTGTGAATAAAACCAAAAAGAAAGGGAAAAAAAAATGGACCAAAGAAGAAGATCATTCACTGAATGTAACTGTCAAAAATTTTGCTCGCGTAACATAATCTTCAGGGGCAAAAAAAAAAATTAGTCTCACACAATTGCCTTTTTTCAGTTAACTGCAACCTCAGCGGATAGGTAGCTAGTAGGATGACGTGAGTCTTGGCCGGAAACTTTTGTCTTTGAGAGCTTGAGTACCTGCACAGCTTCCTCCACTTTAGTAGCCAGTGACTCGGGTGACTCCAATAACAGAAGCAATTCTGAGTTGTCCATCTCCAAAAGCATCCCGGTTATTTTTGCAGCAAGATCAGACTACAATAAACACGAAAGCTTAGTTTTACATTAAAATCCTTTTATCCATTGTGTCAATACATCAAGGTATGCTTAGGAGCAACAACAAAGAAAAATGTTCATGAAGGAATAATTCCCATGGCCTCTTATTGCCATTTGAAGAAGAAAAAAATGCTAAAAACAGCACTTAATATTGGAAAATGTGTAAAAAAATGAATAAAAATATGTAAAAGTGTTTTGGGATATGTGAAATGAGTATTGGGATTATAAATATTTAGGCATTATATGTTTTTTTTTATGTACAGCTCTTAAGATTGTCATTAGTAGGACACTTTCAATAAATAATAAATGGAATATATCACAAGTTTAACTTAAATTGAGTCAGACCCTCTAATTTTACTATAAAAAAAATGCTATGCTCTTACGAGTTACTTTCACCTCAAAATTGGTATATAAACATGACATTAATTGTTTCAATAAAAAAAATTCATTATCGATATGTACCTAAAAGATCTTATTGTAGTGCATCAAAAGCACCCAGAGTGTAACTAGACCAATATTACCTTATGTTTCTGAACAAGAGGGTAGAGTCGCTCTCCAAGAATCTGTTTTTGCTGCTCAGGGGAAGCGGCAGCAAGCCTGCTGCTCAACATCTCTGACCCCTCAGACCCAGATCCAATAGAATTGGAAACAGCAGATGAGACTGCGGATCCTTTGTTCATCTCGCGCACACGTCCATTTGGCACATACCTTGCTTGCCCAGTCCGCTGCAAAGCATTGCTCACAAATGTTATGTTCTCAATATAAGCCTACCCCACATGGAAAAATAAATAAATAAAAAGTTTTTATCATTCTAACTGCAAGAGGCGTAGCTAGCCAACTGTTTTTTGTAATATATCTAGCTACACATCGTTTTGTCATATAAAAGGTTGGTTTGGTTACTGTATGAGAAGCCACAAATTAGTGAACCAACTCCAAGATTTTCACCAGGTAGTTACGGTTCTCGTATCACAAAATTTTCCAAGTGTTCCCCGTCAACTGTCAAGTTGAAGGATATCATATTTGTTATTTCAGCCCCATCCCTAAAATCACGGGTTTGTTACAAGCATATGAAATTAGACATTCTTTGTGATAGAACAAGTCATAGGAGAGACCTCAACACAAATGGTCCATCTTATCAATGAGTATGATGTAAACTACGGCTCTAATGGTTCTTAGAAGCACCATCTAGCCACAAGAGGTTTTGTTTCATGCACTGTACAAATTAAGTAGTTTGTCTAAAACGAGACAAGGCGCCAAAAAACAAGAAGATAAACAGTAAGTACTTTGAAACAAGCCTAATGTTCTCTAGGTCTAGGGCAAGACGTGATTGAGAAGATCCAATTTGACAAAGAAGAAAAAAGCAGACCTGTTGATTGCTTGAATCTTTTGATGATGAGTTCATTGACTGGGAGGGCAGTTGCACATGTGGAACATAAGAAACACTATGAACACCACCTTGTGGAGGCATATGCCCGTTCATCCTTCCCCTGTTTTGCCTATGCTGTCTTGGAGAGTTAGAAATCTGAAAAAGAAAATTTAGTAGTGTCACAAACAATTTGACATATTTGGCATAACCAAATACTTTCCTAATCAAACAGTTATGTAGTAGGCCAATGAAGTATAACCGATGCCACTGATAGAAATCTTTGCTGAGTTTAAAGTGCTCTGGTACTTGGGTACTAACCACTGGGAGTGGTGACGGCTGAAAACCAGGTCTGGTTGGAGGTGCAAAGCCATTAGCTCTCCAAAATGGCCTCAATCCTAGAGGCTGATACATAAGCCCAGGTTGTGGAGGTACTTGTGAAACAACACTAGGAGGACCTGTGTAATAAAAAGGAGGATATCCGCCGGGGATAACAGTTGAAGGTCCTGCTAGTCCTGCTATGTGCTGCGCATACTGAATCTGTAATTGGGCATGCCTCTCCTCTTTCCTTTGAGCAATAGCCACATATAATGGCTTTCTGTGAAACATGTATGCTGTAAAACATCAAGGATTCATGAGAAAGCAACTTCTAGCCCAAACGAAAAACTTTTTTAAGGATTTAATTTTAAATTGATTTTCTTCCATATTCAAATCTGATAACCAATTGGTTTGAAAGAATATCTGAGTCCAGAAAAATAGTCATCTAATAAAATTCTAAGGATAACAATCACAAGATTCACAACTAACACAAATTTTCCATAAAAAAATTTCATAGAGAAAGAATAAGGTTTCAGATACTTCTAAGATATTTTTATTTCACTACCATCTCCGTCTGTATTGTTTTAGTGAATTATTATTTAGAAGGAAATGAGAAAAATATCAACTCCTGTGATTATTTTGATAGTGGTAAGAAAATATGGTACAAGGGACTTGAACCCTTTATCAAGGAGAGTGGCCCAACAGCCTTTAGTGTGTCCCCTCAGTGACAAACAACAACTCCCATCATGACAGCAGTCCGGCTTTTCCATAACATTTGAGTAAATTGTTATCAAATTCAAAGTTAGAGATGGAAATCTATTTGTGCGAATGAATACTATTTTATTATCCATAGTGATGTACACTATTCAAAGTTTTCTTCACAAAAGATTATCCATATGAGGCGATTCTATTTGCCACATAAACAAACCTAAGTATCCTCGTTACTAGGGTGCTGCCCAAGTAAATTTCCTCTATTCCACCCAAGTCGACACCTAAGAAACCCATTTCACAAAGCTTGTATATAACAGCCAAAAATAGATCGTCAATGTCAAATAGATTTCATACCAATAGAGTTCCTCAGATGATAAGATCTCACAAACCAATCTTAACCATGCAGGATGTATCCATGATAATATGACTAGCAGCTGTTAGTATGGGTGTGTTCAACTATGTACGAGGGTTGCACCCCTTTTTGGCACCCTTCAGTGAGTTATACATATCATGAAAGCATGCCATAATTTACAACAAAATAAATAAATAAAATAAAATGATAGAGAACTCTGCTCTCCCTCAATATCAACTTAAATTTCTCAATCAAGCAAAGCGAAACTATTAGATGAAAAGATAAAAGCTCATAAATATGAGTGTACAACAGCATAATCACACATGAATGTGATTTAATATAGCACTAATAACCAAGTTCATCAAAAAGGGAATAGTAGATATTATTAGCATTATATATTGGCTTTTTTTCAGATCAACACGTATAAACCAATTTCCAGGACCAAGTTGAGTAAGAATGCCATAATTTACAAAACAAAAAAAAATAAAAATAAAAAATAAAAAAAATTGAAATGAAATGAAGGAGGTCTTCTCTGTCTCAATATCAAGGCTTAAACTTCTCAATCAAGCAAAAGTGAAAATATTAGATGAAAAGATTTTTAGTTTATCAATGTGAGAATACAACATCATAATCACACATGAAAGTAATTTAATATAGCACTTATAACCGAGTTCATGAAAAAAGGAATAGTAAATATTAGCATATATCCTGGCTTCTTTTTTATCAACACATACAAACCAATTTCCATGACCAAGTAGAGGAATGTTAATAGAATATCTTAATTTAATGGCAATTGAATCATTTACAAATCTTACAAACTCACCATGAAAAGTATTCACAGCTTTGTTGGCTTCCTCAGGTTTAGAGAAGCAGACAAACCCAAACCCCCTACTAATTCCTTTGTCATCTCGCATAAGTTTTGCAGAGGTGATTGTGCCACACTGTCTGAAGTGCTCTCGCAGCTCGTCTTCAGTGACATCATCATCAATATTCTTGACATAGACGTTTGAACCCTACGATTGAAAAGCAAAAAAGACAAATTTTAAAAAATAAAAGAAAATACAATTAAGTCAGTATCCCTAAGGAGAGAAAGTAGTGGCGACGTTACCTGGTATTTCAAGATTTGCTCCTTCCGTTTCTCCTCAAAATGACGGCGCAAAATCTGCTCACGTTCTGCTTTCTTCTGTGCTCTAGCTACATAGAGAACCTTGGAGCCTACTAAAAAAATGTCAGAAAATTGTGAAATTTAACTTCTTTGGCAAATTACTTTCATTAAGAAAACATAACCTACCAAGTTGTGACCCGTTCATAGCTTCCAATGCCCGCCTAGCATCATCTGGGTTATCGAAATTCACAAATCCAAAGCCTCTTGAGGCCCCATTGTCATCCTTTGTGATAACTAAGCTAACAATTTTCCCAAACACAGAGAACTTCTCCTTAAAAATTTCTTCTGTGACATCTGGATCCAAATTCTTGAAGTAGAGATTTGTATATTTAGCATCGGGACTGGGTAAAATCCGATCACTCTTTTTCACAAACTTTCCTACATACCTGGGGGATAAATTATTTTTAAATAGTAAATAGTTATAAACCAAGAAGGAAGGCATGAGTAAATTGCGATTTGACATAACTTTTTACATGAATATTCATGCACAAGGTTGGCCGCATCCTCAAACAAATAAGTTACAACAATGACAGGACAATAGAGAAGTGGAATTGCATACATTTGCTTCCCTCCAATACTGAATCCATTATACTTTTCAATAGCAGCATTTGCAGATTCCTCAGAATCGAACTGGACAAAGCCATATCCTTTGCTCTTCCCATCGTCAGACATGACTACTTTGCAAGACAAAATAGTGCCAATTTTTTCAAACATTTCTTGCAGCTTCCCATTATCAATCGACTCACCCAAATTCTGCAAAATAAACCCAAAAACAATTTAAAAAACAAATGTCATAAATTTAGGATCTTTTATTTGATCGAAAAAAATGTATATACCTTGACAAATACGTTTCCAATTCCACTCTTCCTTGCATCAGGATCACGAAGCGACCACATAACCCTTATCACTTTTCCATTCAGCAGAGAGTGATTCTTCATCTCAATAGCACGTATTGCTATTCAATAAAAATTTACAAAAAAAAAAAAACTATAAAAAAAGTGAAATCCTTCAAATGCATATGCAATTATATCAACATTATACACAAAAATTCCACACAAAGTACAAAACATAACACACGCACGAGCAAACAAAAACAAAATCCCAACTCTCTTTAACCACTCTTTAACACATCAAAAGAAAATTATTATCCTAATACAACAACACATCACACAATCCATAAGAGCATCTCCAATTCTTCATTAATTTTTTCGTCAAAGTCAAATTTGATAATAAAAAAAATGGCTAAAAGTGTGCTCCAACCATTTCAGCAAATCTCTATCAAGTCAAGGATGAATCAAATGTTTCACCAAATTCCCAAATTTCATATTTAAACTCAAATTTGATGAAATTTTTTAAAAAGTAAGAATTAGAGATAGTTTTCTTTCATAAAAGAGCATCTCCAATTCTTCATTAATTTTTTCGTCAAAGTCAAATTTGATAATAAAAAAAATGGCTAAAAGTGTGCTCCAACCATTTCAGCAAATCTCTATCAAGTCAAGGATGAATCAAATGTTTCACCAAATTCCCAAATTTCATATCTAAACTCAAATTTGATGAAATTTTTAAAAAAGTAAGAATTAGAGATAGTTTTCTTTCATAAAAAATGTCTAAAACAAAATTTTCAAAAAGATCTGATGAAAAAAAAGAAAAGAAAAAAAGAAGAAGAAGTAAGGATTGGAGTGGTACTGTTACATATCAGATTAAGCTTTTAACCAAAATTTCACTCAGATTTGATGAAATACAAGAGTAAGGATTAGAAATGCTCTAACAGAGTCCACAGCACCACACATTGATTGATCCAAAGCAATAAAGAAGATAATCACGTTAAAACAACAAAACTCTAATCAAAACTTTCATTTTTTTATATCTTCGATTACGATCATCAGATACATAGCACACAACATACATTTCTACATATATATATATATATATATGTATAGAGAGAGAGAGAGAGTTATGGATAAACTGAGAGAATTGGAGAGCCAAATTGTGATTTGAATTGAGAAAAAGATGGAAAATTTTCAATGAGAAAGGATCGACATTTACGATCGGATGAGAAAATTTACCGTCTTGAGGAGAGATGAAGTTGACGTAACCGTAACAGAGGGATCGTCCGGTGGAAGAGTCGCGACAGACGCGAACAGAGGCGAGGCTCTTGAATTCGGAGAAGTGATCGAAAAGCTGACCGTCTGTGACGTCATGGTGTAGGTCGCCGACGTACAGAGACGCCGGAGCGGCGGGGACCGTCGGAGGAACCGCCATTTTCCACTCAAACTACGACGACGATATCACACACAAAACCACCACCACCAGGCAACGTCTTGAGGAGAGATGAAGTTGACGTAACCGTAACAGAGGGATCGTCCGGTGGAAGAGTCGCGACAGACGCGAACAGAGGCGAGGCTCTTGAATTCGGAGAAGTGATCGAAAAGCTGACCGTCTGTGACGTCATGGTGGAGGTCGCCGACGTACAGCGACGCCGGAGCGGCGGGGACCGTCGGAGGAACCGCCATTTTCCACTCAAACTACGACGACGATATCACACACAAAACCACCACCACCACCAGGCAATGCCACACCAAACACAGACACAAACTCTACTTTTAGAGAGAGAAATTGAAAGAAGCTAAGTGGCGTTTCGTTTTGGTATTGATTCTGGCAGTGAATACAGAGATAGAGGAGAGAGAGAGAGTTTCTAAGGTTTTTGCAATGTTTGTTGAGAATTTCCTTTTAAAGATAAACGTTTTAAAGGGCCGAGAGTACAGCGACTAGAGAGAGATTAGTGATGAATTATGAAAAAAAATATGATGATTTTTTTTTTTTTAATTAATATGTAATATTTTAGGAAAATTTACTCATAAGTCCTAGTTTTTGAAACGTTGAACTATTTAGTCCTAAAAGTTTTCTTATGTTCCATTTAGTCCCATTTTTACATCAACATGATGTGAATGATGTAAATGATCTGATGTTTCATTCTATAATTTCAAAATTTATTGAAATCTGATGAACATTAGATGTTTTTCATCCTATATTTTCAAACATTATTGAAATTTGATGAACATTAGATGTTTATAGAGAGAGAGTAATTAAGGAAAGATAAAGAGGAAAAATGTTTGGCTTTGATTTTCTAAATTTAATTTTTTAGAAATTAAATTATTTTTCATTTTTTTATTTTTAATGAATATTTTAAAAAATTTAAAAATCTTACTTGGATATAGGGGTGTACATGGTCCGGATTGGTTCGGTTCTGAGAAAATTCAAGAACTGAACAGATCTTAACGGTTCTGTGATTTTAAGAATCAGACCAGACCGTTACAGTTGTAAAACCAGACCAGAACCAAACTGAAAAAACTGTTCGGTTTCGGATTGGTTTACGGTTTCAAAAATTTCTATTTATAAAAATAAATTGTTAATATTAGCAAAATAATTATTTAAACTAATTACATTTAACACATGATAAAAACTAATAATATTAAGGTATTATTTAATATTACATATCTATACCATCCTAATATCATTAAAATTATAAAAAATCAATTAATATAAATAAAACTTCATATTATATATATATATATATATATTTTAAAATTTGGTTCGGTTCGGTTCGAATCGTGATTTTTTCATAAAATTCATTAACCGAACCGTTTTTACGGTTTTCATATTTCTTAATCCGAAACCGAACCAATTCTTAATAGAACCGAACCAAATCGTATGATTCGGTCTGGTTCGGTCCGGATTATCGATTTGAACAGATTTTTGAACAGCCCTACTTGGATACACCTCACATGAATTCATCTAAAAAGTAAAATATTTATAAAAAAATATTTTAAAAAATTAATAAATATACAAAAATACAAAAAATGTGCTAAATTCTCATTTATATATATATATATTTGGTATTTAGTGAATTTCTTAAATATTTTTTTCCCTAAATGTTATATTTTTTTAAGTGTATTTATGTTAAGTGTAATTAAAAATTTAAAAAAATTGTTTAGAATATTAAAAAATTAGTAAAAACAAAAAAATAAGAAAAATATAAAATTTTAATTTTCTAAAAAATGAATCTTGAAAATCCAAACCAAACAATAAATTGGAAGAAAATAAATAGAAATTTTTTTTTTTTTGGAGATATATTGATAGCTAAATAAATAAAAATATAGATACAGAGAAAATGTAATAACATGAGTAGTTTAGAGAGAGAGAGAGGGCAGATTTGCATGGAGCGAGTGTTTAGAGAGAGAATATGTGTACGCGCAGACATAGCGCATCGTAATCACTCCTGGGTTTTGAAATTTCGACCCGGATTTTATTTTTGCTTACATTTGTGAATTGATTTTTTTTCCTTCATTTTTTGTCTTAATAAATTCAGGTTAGTTTTTTTTTCTCATCCAACTAATTGAAAATCAACCAAATTCTGAGGAATTTTTAATTAGGTAGAAAGTTTTGTGGAATTGAATTGGTACTAGCTACTAACTAAATCAAAATAATAATAATAATCATTGATATATTTGTTATTTTAAATCTTAAAGATAGTTTGAGTTATTAATTGTTTATCAAATTAACAAATTAATCAACCTAAAAAAATTACAAAAAAGTAATGTGAACAAGTAAAAAGTATATGAAATTATATATATTTTAGAAATCTATTATGTTATCACAAAATTGACATTATAAAACAATTAATTTACAACTATAGAATAGATATCAAATATTGAAATATCGTTAGCTTAAAAAATATATATATATATATATAAGTATTTCTGAGACAATATTTAATAAATTCAAAAGATACGACCAGGCATAAAGCTCATTTTTTTTAAAAAAAAAAAATGCATGATAATGCCTCATAGTTATGGCACTATCTGACTTTATATAGGTGCAAGCCATCTTCATTAAACTATAAAATTTCAATTGCAAATTTCAAATAGAATCGGGTCGGGTTGGATCATGGGTTGTTGATATTAAAACCACATTCCCAATATGGTTGTTTGGCAAACATGATTTGTTTGTGTCAACAACACTCTAACTTGGGGGGCTACACTCACACATGTAAGAAGAGGCCAAGGTGAAGAGAGAGAAAATGAGAGAGGGAGGAGAGAGAGTGAGGGAAGAGAGAGAAACGGGTAAAAAGGGGGCATGTTAAATGGGGAGTGAGTGTAAAGAAGACTACTTCAATTCAAAGTTGAAAGTTAAAAAAGTGAAGCATTCTTCTCATAAGATGAGGATCCGACTATTTTCACAGCCAGAACTTCATCACAAGGGACGCCCTAATCCACGGACACCCTTACCCCTCTCTCTCTCTCTCTCTCTCTCCCCACGACCTTTTTGTGTACTCTATATTTTAGTTTAATTAAAATTTTATTTCTCATGCATATATAAAACTCACCAAAAAAATTTAAAAAAATAATCATGCATGATAATTTGAATTAGGCAAATTAAATATAATTTTGAATTATAAATTTCATTTAGGATATGCATTGAAAAGTAGCTGGAAAAGTTTTTGTCACTAGAAAAGTCGTCAAAAAATTAATTAGAAAAGTCGACTGTAATGAGGTGGACAAATAGGTGACGTTAGATACATGACCACATTTGGTCAAATAGTTGACACACGTATAAATAAGTGACATTTTGGATAGATAGATTGCATAACAGATATGTAAGTTTTTAAACAATTATGTATTCTATTGGACAGATAATGTTCTTTTTGCTAAAAAAGATTTAAACTTGGTCTGTGGCTAGAGTCTCAATATTTATTTATGAAAAATGATAGAGATAAAAGAATAAAAAATAAAAAATAAATTATTATCAAAAATACTACCAAACCAGAGTGTTTAGTAAATTTTTTGATAAAAAATTTAGAATTTCCATCATTGTTGTTTTTAATTATTTATGATTTTCTCACTAAGTGACAAGTTATAATCTTTTGCTTCCTTTTTTAGCTTAGGATTGTTTTGAGAAGCAAGTTAAAAGTTAACTTTTTAATTTTTTTTTAAAAAACATGTAAAAGAATAGAAAGGTGATATGATCCAAAATAAGTTAAAAATTAAAAATAACTTTTTACTCATTTGTCAAAACGAGCCTTAGTTTACCAAAAAAAAGTCGGTTAAAAACAAATTCCCAAAAGCAGAACTGTCGTTACTCGAAAAATAATGTCATAAACACATACAAATATTGCTAATAGTGAAATAAAAGATGATAAAAATATTATTTTATAATGTGTCCAAACGTGGCCTCGGTGTTATCTTCTACTACATTTGTGTTAATACCTTATATAGGGGATATTTTATAGTAAAAAATACTAAAGGTCCTAAAATTTTTATCAAGAATTTTACCAAATATATCACATAGTGAAACTTACACCTATATGAGATATTTGATAAAATATTTAATAAATTTTTTTGTATTCTTACAATTACTCTTTCATAGTGCCTGCATTCTCAAAGTTAATGCTTTTATTAAGTTGCTTCAATTGCACAATTGACTTCCAAAGTAGGGAAAAAATCAGGGTTGGGTGGAAAAAGTGAGAAGGAAAATTGATTTTCTCACAACCGACACGCTAAAGTAACACCATAAGAGGCATTTGGGGAAAACCTTCAACCCAAAAAAAAAAAAAAAAAAAGTTTAGCTTTCGTTAAAAAGTTACAAAAATCACTAAGCTATTTATTATTGGTAAAAGAGATTAAATCTCATATTATTATTTTTTACTTATAAAAAAATAATTTTTTAGTAACTTGTTAAATATGTCAGCTTTTTTTAATTTCTAAAAATCTAAAAAACTATTAAAAAAAATTAATCACAAATCCACCCATAATAAACTACTTAAAATTTTACAAACTTACTCAAATTAGGATAATAGAATAGAACCTATACATTGTGAGGACCACTATCATATCTATGAATAAGTGGTAAAAATAAGTAATTCATAGAACATATGCTTGACAAAACTGAAAATTAGAAACTAAAAACTAAAAATTAAGTATTAAAAATTGAATGTTGAATTTAAAGTTGAAAAGTTGTTTGATAAAAATTTAAGTACTGAAATAAAAATATATTATTTGATATGTATAAGATCAAGTTTAAAATTTATTAATTTCAAATTGTATATTTCAATTTTTATATTGTGATGGCTGTAACGCTGATGGTAGCGGTGGTGGTGATAGCAATAACGATGTAGTGGTAATAAAATTGTGGTGGTGTTTATGGTAACAATAACAATGGTGATGGCGGCAATCATTACAAAAAATTAAAATTTTAGAGACCAAAATTTAGAGACAAAATTATTTTTTAGGGACTAAATATTTTTGTTGCGAA